ACTACTAGTAGCAAGGACGCTTAGCTTGACCTAGGAGGACGAAGCTAGTAGGAGCAAAGGGCATCGCTACTAGAACAAAGGGCATTACTACTAGGAGCAAGGACACTACTAGGACACACTGTCACGTACCGCTCCATGTCATTCTCAGCGTCTCCCGGCTTTCTTCAACAAGTCGAACGCAAAGTGTTTGGAGTCAAAGTCCTTTGGCTCCAAAATGACCACAGGAATGACATTTGGGCTCTTTAGCCTCTTCAGGATCATGTTCTCTGGGGCCTAGGCTGGAAACACTCAGAGGATGGGAATCAAGCATGCTTGAGATCTACCTGCAATTTTGGAATGGATTTTTGCCTAGTTTCGTTGTCGCCGTCTTTCATCCCCGGCATGTCAGCAACAATGACGGATTCAGGTATATTCTTCCAGAGGATCTTCACTGAGACGGCCGAGTCATTGAAGCCTTCCGTGCCGTTTTCTTTGATCATGACGCTCAGAAAGTCAGCCTTGAGGCCGTCATACTGTCATACTGAAAACTTGCATTATCCTGTCATGCTGTTCTGGAGCTGTGGGAGTTGCGCTCAAAACAAATCTTCACTTCGGTGCCGGCTCACCCTCGAACATAATCCGGGACAACGTTCAAGTTCGCATGACGCTTTGTCTGACCGAGAAACCTCATTCACCTTCCTGGAGTTCACTTCAATGTCGGGCTCTGACTTTGAGTCGTCGTGGATCAAATTGTACTCCACCGGCCGCCGCCTCTCAAAATGGGCAACTGAAAAAATGCAAAGCAAACCCGAAACAGTTGAGAAAAACTGCGATCACTCATTACCTTCAACCCAGGCACGTCCCAGTTTTGTTTGCCGTGTACCCCAGAGGCAACCGTGCCAGTCTGCTGAGTAATGAAGTCTTCCCGCTGGACTGGTCACCCACCAAAATGTAGGAAGGAACTACCTGCCAAAGAATGTCAAGATGTCCCCTCATCTCTCTTGTCATCTCTGCAGTCCGAAAGGACAGCTGCTCAAGCTAAATGGCCTTGATCTTGGCCAGCTCGCTTTCAGGCTGCAATTCACAAAAATGGTTCACCTAGCAGCGACAAGGACGAGAGACGCATCACTTGACTGGACCCAAAAGACCGGATTCAACGCAAACACCTCTCTGGTGAACTCAAAGAGCTTGTTGGATCCGGCCGACATGAGTGACGATGATGTTTGCTGGAGTATATAGTTGAACCTAAAGGCTGCAAGTCACAGAATGGGTCGACGCAAAAGTACCCTGATCTTTGCCATCGAATCGCTCGTGGGACACGGACCCCCCATCGACCTGCTTTTCTCTTTTACCTCGTAGCTTCTTGTTGAGGGGTTTAGGCTCGAGAGAAACTAGACAAAGTCATGCAGGCAACAGCCAGTCAGCCATGGCAGTAAGAAAGCCGCATTTAAAGGAGAAGGAAAAAAAAGATGAGAGAAAAGGCAGAGACAAAGAGGAGGGGAAAGAAAGAAAAGAGGAAACAGAATCACAGACACCACAAAGAAAAGCTATAGCCTTCGAACAAGCAGACGATGATACAGAAGCAAGCAAGAAGACAGAACTTGCAGAAAAACAGGCTATCACCACAAGAAGAATTTGGGGGACAAGAAGCTCATCTACCTCGAAGGCACTATATGAAATTGCAGCCACAACACAACGAGTGACAAAAGGACCGGATGAACAACATAGACCAGCAGAGCGCAAATCAAAACACAACGTTGCACAAGAAGCGTGTGAGCTCCTTCAGCAGATGAAGCAATTGAGCCTACAAATGAAGCAAGATCTTGAGCAACTTCAGTCAACAGGAGCCAGCTCTTCTGATCAACTTCGAAATCAGCAAGAAGCAATGTCACTACAAATTGACAAATTGAGAGCAGACAAAAAATGATCATCAAATCCTGACCGCAGAACGCGTACTACTCGGACAGGGTCAGAATCACAGACTGGCTTCTATACAAAGCACAAGTTCAAGACAGCACGAAACAAGAACATGGGTTTTATACAGCAGCCAAGAAGTTTACCAAGTGCCTTACTAGTAGTAACAAGAAGCTACTAGTAACAAGTCAGCCAAGAAGTTTACACTCTCACCAGTCACAGTTCTCACATTCTCAAACTTAGAGGCACACCAGCGGTTCGAGAAGTTTGCATACACCACTTTCTCCAACAAATGGCCTTTGCACTATTGGGACATGCACGGCAACAAAATTCAGCACAGGAATGGAGGATGGCACAAACTGGTGATTACCAATTACCTTGGCAAAACAGATCTGATCATCAATATGGCCCTCACTACAGCAATGCAAATACTGACAACACACCAAGACACTGGCTATGCAGGCATGACACAGCTTTCACACAGAACCACAGACAAGCAAATCTATGACCTGGAAGCACACAAGGTCATTACAAAAGCCACCTATGACAAAGACCAAGGAGTCGTGGCAATCACTGCGGAGAAGCACCTCGTGGACCTCATTCGCAATGTTTGGCATGATGCGTGGAGAACTGTACACAAAGAGCATCCCAGATACCCAACATATAGCAAGTATCCCTACGCAGTGACTTTTGCAGCCGCCAGACTAGAAGAAAACAAAGAAGACCAGATGGATGAATGACTACACATCACCAGCAGAAAACAACACTATGACAAGCAGACACATGGCAAAAGCAAGGCAACAACCCCACACTGGCACACGCCATTGGGGAGCACCCCTCCGGAAGAACAACTACGCAAGAACTGATGACAGCCACTTGCCTTCAAGAAGGCATGCCGGGACAGTGCCCTCTGGGCTGACTGAACAGACTCGGAGTCGCAACCATCTAACACCAAACCATAACCCTTCTTACTACAATTGCAGAAGGGCCAAGGTTTTTAACTTTTTACGAGCACAGCGTCGTTGTGCATGGAGATATTTCAAAAGGACGCGATTCCGGGACCGAGCCAGGCAGGTAGCCAAAGCCATGAGAGGCTTTCACAAAAAGCGTTAGACAGAAAGTCGGGAAGAAAACCAAACGGTGGTTCCAACGGAACATTGTTCACCTCAAGAACGAATTTAAAACCTTCTTTGCAACACTTAGATCCCATAAGGTTTCTGAACGGAAAGGAGATATGCCAAACTATAAGAAGTTCTCAAAAACCTTTAAACTCAGAGCTAATCAGCAGATCAGAGCTGCCACGTTGAAGGTTAGAGGGCTGAGCCAGCCAACGAAAAAAAATTAACTCATGAAAACGCATGAATATGAGATTTTTCTAATGACGGAAACCAACATGAATGTAAGCTGTATTGAGAATTGGGATGGTTATACAGTTTTTTCAGTACAAGCGTTGATTCCAAGATTCGAGACCAGGAATGCAAAAAAACGAGAGAATGCTGCCATTAGGGGAGCGCAACATAGAAGCTGTGCAGTTGGACATAGAAATCTTCCCTCCCCAGCCCCGTCCCCATCCATGCGCCTCCGTCTTCCCTGGCCAGCCCCGTCCCCACCCATGCACCTCCCGTCTCGCCCCCCCTCCTTCCCTCCAGCCCCGTCCCCACCCACGCGCGCCTCCCATCTCGCTCCCCTCCATCTTCCCTCCTCAGCCCCGTCCCGCCATACTCCGTGTGCAAAAACCGGGCAATTTGCCCGTCTGCGAACGTGCTTTCGTTTGCGAAAACGCTGGGGTACCGGCGGGAGTGCAAGGCCGGGAGGCACTTCGGCGCCGTATTCCCGGGTGAGACAATTTAAATACGCGTAGCGGGGAGGCAAACACCTGTGTTCGGTAATTTGACTATTTGGAGTCGCTGACAACTTTGACAGGCGGCCTCCCCAATGGTGTGGACGCCTGTCTCCACCTGTACATGCCGAATGTCCGAGATGTGCGAAAAGGCATTGGGCAGCATTCGATCACTGTCCTCGGCAGGAACGCAAATGGCTTTGGCTCTTTGTCGCAGTTGACCTTTGTGTTCAGCATCGATGAGACACTGTCGAACAACAAGGCTAAAGCGGTTGCATTCTTGTAAGGTGTCCCAAATAGGGTCGGCAAGAATTTTCTGCGCGCTCATGCTGACAAACTCCAGCTCACACCCAAAGGTGCTGTGCTTGCCTATGAGTGGGAGGCTCTCGAGTACCGCATTCTCAAATTCCTGTAGTTCAATTGGCAGTTGGATTTCCTCCCCAGCCAAGGTGACCAGGATGAGGTGGAAGACAATAGATCGCTCTGCGCTTGCAGGTGTACTGTCCTGTGAGGAGAGTTTTCCTAACATCTCCGCACCTCTTTAGGGGGCACGTGTGCCTCTCACAGCTTGAACCAGAAAGGGGCACTGGGCTCAGTCAAGTTTAGGCCTATTCACCCTGTGTCGTCAATTCCTTTATCCCTCCCCTAGGAGGGCTGTTCCAATGGTCAATGGAGTTCGATTGGTACACTTGTATAAGTCACTCTGATATGTATCCAACGATCGAATTCATCTATAATGACTTCTCAACATGGATCAGTGGGCCTAAGCCAACTCCGGCACATAGCCCATGTCTGGAATCATGTGCAGCCACTGCGGCCACCGCATAGCGGGCAGAGCGCAAAGGCATTTTCTTCGGCATACGTCCCACGCCATGTGGTTCTTTGGCCTGGTAGCTTCGTGAGCCTTCTAAATACGCTACAATCGAGGAACGCCCTGCTGGCGATATAGTGCAGTGAGGGTGGGATGGCAAGCCCTTGCAGTGCCGCACAGTTCATAAAAGCTTTCACGTGGATTGTGTGTACCGTGTATGGCAGGCGTACATCTCGAAGCCTGGCGCAATGCACAAAGGTAAACTCTCGAATTTCAGCAATGCTGGTGTTCGAAATGTCTACTTGAGTGAGCAATTTACAATTGTCACAGGCATGGGCTCCTAGCTCATGGAAGTCACGAGGCAATTCGAATTCTTTTAACCCTGTGGAGCAGAAAGCTCCTGTCGGTAGTTCCCTATGCTGCTCTTGGTTCGGCAAGTCCGGGTTGTGGCCGTCTTCCTGGATGGTGAAGGTAGTCAAGTTGATACAGTCTACGAAAAGATAGTGCCCAAGCTTAGTTGCACTTCCCATATGGTTGGCTCCACCTCCATTAGCATGGATCCACTGCAAGGAGCAGCAGTCGGCAAAGGCTTTGTATCCAAACTCGGTGCAGCCTGGCACTGTTATACTATTGAGCAAGTGGCACCCTCGAAAGGTGTTCTCTTCAATACGCACTACAGTATTCGGCATCTTGACAATCCGGAGATGACGACAGCTTTGCCAGGCTTGAGTTCCAACAGCGCGTATGCCTGCCTTTCTTTTTGCACGAGTCGAGGCGCTATGTGTGCAGGTTATGCGCAAGTCACCTTAAGCTAGTAAAAGGGAGAGATACGAACCGAGCAACACACCGAGAAACCCCAAACAAAACCAAACAAACCCAACCCAACCACAAAAGGAGGCAAGGTTCGTACCTCAAGAAGGCTGACGCAGCCGAAAACGCGGTGAAACAGAGTAATCTAGGGGCGATGAATTCAGCCTTGGCACTCAATACGCGGCCTCCTTGTGCCTTCCATGTTTTCTTGTTTGGTTTCCTTCGCAGGGAGAAAATAAGACTTGCACCCAGAGATCAAATACACGTGGGTGTTGATACAATGGCAGGCAGGTAACGTGGCCGTATACCCTGTTCTCAAGAGGTTTGGCAAAGTCTTCACAGATAGCAGGTGCAAATGCGGTCAGCACACAACGGCCAGTAAATCGACAGCGAACTTCACACCATTCATATGTCGCATGTAAGAGGAGCAATCTCGGCTCAGGGAAAACAACTGTGTCACCAATCGAGGACTGCAAATCTTCGAAAGCAAGAAACAGTGGAGCCACACCGACATTGCACTGATCGGGTGAAGTGGTCCTATGACTTTCTGCAGGTCTAGCACCCTCCCCCCCCCCCAGGGGGGAGGCGGGAGTGCTCACTGTCAAAAGGCAGCGATGACTCAAGAACAGCTTTGCCACCAGAGTCATAGAAAGGCAATGAAAGACAACGAAAGACACTGAGAGTCAGGTGTGTCGAAAGGCTCTCAGGAGCCATGTAGGACTGTTGAGAGGCGCATAGGTATGCGTCGCAATCAACCGGGCGCCTAGCCATTGCGCAGCCATGTTCCATCTTGACGTGCAAGCCCCGTAAGCTACGTGAAACAAGGTGAGACATCGTTATGCCAGATCTGTACACGTCTGCGCAGTCTGTACTCATCCA